AGTATATATTAGGTGCCTCAAAGAGAGCTCAGGTTCTCAACTGGCTCAGCCATGTTAATATTGTTATTATTATCCACTCTGTATCTGTATTTTTCTGGCTAAATAAACTGTTACACTTCAATTCAATTCAAAAATAATACAAGGACATATATAGAACAAGCAGGACCCACTAGAGAACTACTCCAGAACGTATGGGAAATTCAGCATGACTTCCAAGAAAAATGGAGCAGTCTAATATCAAACACAGATATGTTGAAGGACACAAAAACAATCTGGCAAAACATTAACAGATTACTTGGCACCCAAAAACAAACAAAAAACTACATAAAAGACTAAAAAGGAGAAAAACTTTATACATGCCAAGAAAAAGTAGAGGCCTTCTGTAGAGAATGGAAAATATATTCAGAATATTAGAAGAAGAAATAAGAATTTTGATAACGAACACGAAAGACTGGCTAAGAGAGCGAAGCAATAGACTGACGCCCTATCATACAGGAAATCCAGATAGACTAAAACCCAATAGATTCATAGGACACGACGAACTACTACACAGCTTACGAAAATTTAAAGAAAAATCCCTTTGAATAAGTGGCATAACTCGAAATATGTTATTAAACCTACCAAACAGACCAATACAAGCGCTCCTAAATATATATAACTCAGTCCTATTAGCCGGTTACTTCCCGGAGCTCTCAAATGCGCTAAAATGATCTTCATTCCCAAAGAAGACAAGGATCCAAAGTAAATAACTAACAACAGACCGATATCTTTGCTGGGAATAACTGGCAAACTCCTAGAGCACATAATAAAGAACAGGCTACAAAAATTCCTGGATACAAACAATAAACACAACCCAAGACAACATGACTTCGGGAGTGGGAGAGGAACCCAAACTGCATATCGCCAAAGAAAAACAGCATGGAAACCAAGTAAACCTTGTCCTGAGAGGCGTGGCAAAGGCCTTTGATAAAGTGTGGTACACAGGCCTAAAGTACAAAATCTTACAACTACGCCTACCCGCAGAAAGCGAGAGAATACTGTGTGACTACCTCCGAAACAGAAGAGCACAGCTGCAAATTTGTACGTATCGAAGCCCAACCCTAGACCTCGAAAGTGGAGTGCCCCAGGGTGGCGTCCTGTCCTCATCACTATTCACCATATATACAAGCAACCTACCAGAACCAACACAACACATCGAACATTTCATCTTCGCAGATGACATCACACAAATCATATCATGCTCTGGAAAGTCAGAGGCAATGATGGCACGCCATACAGCGCATGCAATAAAGAACATAAGTGATTACGAAAGAAAATGGAAGATTAACACAAATATTAACAAATTTAAAATCATACTAATTGCCAAACAAAAGCTCTAACCAATCATCGTGGCTGAAGAAATATACCCATATACCAATGAAGGTTCCATATTAGGACTCAAGATCCCAAAAACTATATACCAAAACTTCATTAAAGAAAAGGACAGCAAACTACACAGCAAAATTTAAAAGAAT